GTCATCGCGCCAAGATCAATAGAGCTTCCTAAGGTCCCCAGAAAGAAGGCTTTGGATGTCTACGAGTCTGGCAAGGGATTTACAAAGATAGCCAAATGATCTGAAATCATCAATCATTCCACTGAAAGGAAAATAATCTACAAGTGGAATAGATTGCCAACAACTGCACAGGACTGACCGGTCCAGCCAATACAACACAAGAGCTGACCATCTCGTGCAAAAATAAGTCTCCGGGAAAACCAAAATTTCATCACGGGGGTGTTTAGGTAAATTCTTGCAACAGTTTGGCGAAGTGCATGCTCCTATAATCAGAAACAGATTGCACCAATTCATCACGTGTTAAGAAAAAGCCTTTGCTATCCAAAAGAACAAGAGGGAGATTAAAGTTTGCCATTGATTATATAGGCAAAGACCAGGTCTTGCGAAACAATATGTTGGCAATATGGTCACAGTAACAGCCGACATGTTTGCCCCAAACCAAAAAACAAACAAACAGTATTTCAACAGAAGGACCTCATAACACCTGTGAAGCATGGCGGTGGAAATGTTATGGTTTGGGTTTGCTTGGCTGCTTCAGAGCCTGGGCTGCTCGCAGTCATCAACTCAACTACACATCCTGCATCATGCCAAGGAGTGCTTGATGACAATGTGAGACCATCTGTCCAAAAGGTGAAGTTGAACTGGAAAGTCTTTAAACATGATAATAATCCAAAGCCAAAAACAAAATGTGGAAGGAACCCCAGAAACATCTTGCAACTGAAGGAATTTAGCATGAATAAGTGGTCAAAGTTGATATCAGCCTGGTGGGCAGTTAAACCAAATTCCTACAAAAAGTCATCTATGCTACGGGGGCAATACTAGAATTGATGCCAAGGGTGTTCTTACTTTTACTCAGTACATTATTATATCCATTAATATTTTTGTCTAATAAATTATCAAACAAAGCTGGTGTTCTTGTTCAAGTGTATCACCTTTATCTATAGACACTGTCCTAAAAAGATCTAATGTTTGGGCCTTTGCGTATGTTGAAAAAGACAATGTCCATGCGGTGCACTTACTTTTATAACCACACGATTCCATCTCTTTAAATCACCAAAGCAAAACCAACCCAATGGAAATCTATCTAAAAATATTAGAAACTTCAAACTCCATTTCATAAAGCATAAAATAAATTAAAAGCCGAATGCCAATGGCATAATAATGGTTGGTGGGCGGGGGCTGGGAAAGCAAGGGCAGTGATTTTACCCCCAGAGTCCCCAAGCTCTGAAAGAGGCACCTGGCCGATGTGGTTGGCTGACCATGAGGAGAGGAGTCCTCCAGGCATCGGAAATGTGGACTACAGTAGAGTGCTCTGTCCATGTCAGGAGCCTTGAGTCCCCGGGTAGTCAGGGAAGGGCCCTATCTCTTTGGGAGATGGACCATTTGGCAAGCCCCAGTGCACTTTTTTTTTTTGTGTGTGTTTTAATAAGCACCTTTATGGTTCACTTTGGCGTTAGTTTTTGTGCGCCCACCGTGGGCTTCAAAAAACAGCTGCTCAAGACTCCCAAAAAAAGCTAAAAGACACAAATCTTGACATTTTTAACACTCAAGTCGTTGAATCTTGCTGTCCTACTCTCACACCGTACGCGCTGAACTCCCCCTTTTTATAGACCTTTCAGCCAGCGCTGACGCTTACCGTCACCCAGGAGGTTTAAAGGCAGCGTGTTGAAACTGCCGTTTCCTGAGCCAGCAGGACATCTCGCATTGTTTGTGTTGGACGAGGCATCGGAGGCACTCCGCGCACAGAATGTATAATTTATCGACACAATCCGAGCGCGCTCCACATGGAGGGCCTGAAATAAGTGTCGCCCTGCCGAGAGGCGGAGGGACTTTTTGCGTGATCCGTGCCGGGAACAAACTTTACAATCCTTCCAACAACATCAGTGACGGGAAACGATTCTGGCGCTCGGCGGTAAAAACAAGGCGCAGCAGCCAAACGCCGTCTTCTTCTGTTTGTGTTGCGCTCAATGACGTCAGGCCATTAATTATAAACTAATCACAGGAGGTGGCAGAGAGGGAAAACAAACATTTTCTTTTTTATTGTTTCCCAAGATAAATATTTCTCTTATTTTGTTTTTATACATTTGTAGATATTTGGTATACGGTCCCAGAGAAACGTCAGAGGTCAGCAACGGTTTTCTGCCGGATGCTATTCTACTTTGAGCACTGCGTGTAGACCGGGACATGCCAATGCTTAAAATCCTGTTCCTACTCTGTGTTCCTAAGACAGGATGGCCAGTAAGGTCATGGTGAGGGGTCATAAGTAACCCAAAAGCCCCCCTATAAAACATAGAGAAGTAGAGCCTGATCTACATAACACAGCTATTACCTGGCTGTCTATGCAGGACCAATGGTTTATAGACCAGATACATGCTAATTATAGAGTCATTTATCCAACTGTCCATCCAGAGCCGCCATTTATAGACCAAATACACCCTAAATATAGAGTCGTTTATCCAACTGTCCATCCAGAGTCACCATTTATAGACCGGATACATCCTAAATATAGAGTTGTTTATCCAGCTGTCCATCCAGAGCCGCCATTTATAGACCAGATACATCCTAAATATAGAGTTGTTTATCCGACTGTCCATCCAGAGTCACCATTTATAGACCGGATACATCCTAAATATAAAATAATGTATCCAACTGTCCATCCAGAGCCGCCATTTATAGACCAGATACTTCCTAAATATAGTCATTTATCCAACTGTCCATCCAGAGTCACCATTTATAGACCGGATACATCCTAAATATAGAGTCATTTATCCAACTGTCCACCCAGAGCCACCATTTATAGACCAGATACATCCTAAATATAGAGTAATTTATCCAACTGTCCATCCAGAGTCACCATTTATAGACTGGATACATCCTAAATATAAAATAATTTATCCAACTGTCCATCCAGAGCCGCCATTTATAGACCAGATACTTCCTAAATATAGAGCCATGTGTCCAACTGTCTATCCAGAGCCACCATTTATAGACCGGATACATCCTAAATATAGAGCCATTTATCCAACTGTCCATCCAGAAATGCCTGTTTATAGACCGGATACATCCTAAATATAGAGTTGTTTATCCAACTGTCCATCCAGAGCCGCCATTTATAGACCAGATACTTCCTAAATATAGAGCCATTTATCCAACTGGCCATCCAGAGCCGCCATTTATAGACCAGATACTTCCTAAATATAGAGTTGTTTATCCAACTGTCCATCCAGAGCCGCCATTTATAGACCAGATACTTCCTAAATATAGAGCCATTTATCCAACTGGCCATCCAGAGCCGCCATTTATAGACCAGATACTTCCTAAATATAGAGTTGTTTATCCAACTGTCCATCCAGAGCCGCCATTTATAGACCAGATACTTCCTAAATATAGAGCCATGTATCCAACTGTCCATGCAGAGCCGCCATTTATAGACCAGATACTTCCTAAATATAGATATAAAACATTTATCCAACTGTCCAGTAAGGGGTCACCATTGGCAGCCTCCATATGTTTCTCACGGCAGGCTTAAATTACAGCACACCTCACCAGAATATACAGTAGATCTGCTACGAGCGGGCTTATGGAGACTACCAGTATTGTCTGTTATGAAGCACTGTGGAGGTTGCCATTTAAGAATTTAGCATAGTATTGTCTGAGTTTCAAGGTTACCACTAATGCTGGGTCGAGAACTCCTCTGCAGCATCATGGACAGTCTCTCCTGGACCGAGCACTACTTTGATAGTCAGATGATGGCAACTTCAACCATTGGATGGACTTTAGCAGATCATAGCCTAGTCTATCACCCATTCAGGTGGGGTGATTGATTTTTCTAGTCTAGGAGCACCCAGTGATGTCCTTCATTATGGCTGAGTTACAGCCGCATAAGAACACGGTTCCGAGGTCCATCACCACAATGTTACCGAGGAGTGGGGAATCTCCCCACTTAGCAGCGACGGCAGACTCGTCCTGTGTGTCTTGGCTTTGGCAGCTGTTATCCCCCATAATTCCTGCACATCTGGAATCCTAACTTCATGTGTTGTATTGTATCTAGATTACCTATTCCATGGCTTCTAAGTCAGCCACCAGATGCTTCCTCTTCTCTGGCTGAAGCCCCTTTAATTACTCATCGCAGTTCTGTTTAATGCTCCCTGTCAGCTGTTACTCTGTGACCCTACAAGTCTGTTACCTCTCAATAAACATACATGACAGAGCCTTCTTATAGGCCGGCAGGTAAGCGACTTCATGGCTGAATGTGCACATCTGTATTTTATTAAATATGACACGGGCTTCCTAGAGTCCAGGAGGAGGAAAACAAACATCACTGGATCTAATTGAATCTGACCTTACATTTATATACATAGGGAATTGGCCCAGGAGTATAGAGAGCTCACCAATGGACAAACCATTAAATCTTATCTAAACCCAAAAACAAAACATACTGCAGCTTACCAAGTCCTTAGATGTGGTGGCTGCATTAGTTTTATTTTTTTCAGGCTAGTCACTCACTATTATTATTCATTTATATAGCTCTGACATAGTCCGCAGTGCTGTACAGAGAACATTGAGCCAGTCACATCAGTCTCTGTACAGAGGAGCTTACACTCTAATGTCCCCTCCCCCCCACAGTCACATCAGTCTCTGTACAGTGGAGCTTACACTCTAATGTCCCCCCACAGTCACATCAGTCTCTGCACCAGAGGAGCTTACACTCTAATGTCCCTCACAGTCACACACTATTATTATACATTTATATAGCTCTGACATAGTCTGCAGTGCTGTACAGAGAACAATGAGCCAGTCACATCAGTCTCTGCACCAGGAGAGCTTACACTCGAATGTCCCCTCCCCCCCACAGTAAAGCAGACCTTCAAGGTCCAGTCTGTGTGGGAGCCAATGAAAGCTGCATAATGTTTTTGGTTTGTGGGAGCGGACGAGACATTGGTATAGGTTAGACCACTTACTTCCAGATGACTTCAAGCTGCAGTTTGATGGTTCCCAGTTCAGTTATGTCTACAATGATGATTCTCGGCCGAGTGGTAAAGAAGTCCGCACTGTCACACATCACAACACCAACTGAGATGGTGGACAACCCACGCAGCTCCACGACCTACCAAATTAGAAGTATACATCGTATTTAAAGGGGGAACTCCAGGCAGTTGAAATACACATAATACTGCACCTTCTAGGCCAAACATAAATAAATAAATGATTATGCTGTTCCCCAGCCATGCTATAACCATCAGCCTTCCGGGCGGTCCTAACTCTAAACTATGAGAGTCTCCATCTTGGAGCACATGGGGGCAGAAGATTTCAAATTGGGTGCAGGTTTGTCAGGAGGAAGCCCAACCTCCTTAAAGGCACAGGGACACACAAGGGATCCCGCACATCCCAATGGCAGCTGAGAACCCCCATGCATCACTGCACCAAATCGGTCAAGCAAAACAAATGACAAACGCACTCAACAATTTGTCACCAACTATACAGTAAGGTGCACACGAAATGGGCTTTAAACAGCAAACAGTAGAAAGGTATCATGGCACACTCACAAGTCAGCATGTAAAGTGTGCCATGACAAATTGTTGAGTGCGTTTGTCATTTGTTTTGCTTGTTTGGATACCTCTAGACACGGCGACTATTGTGCTGCGGTAACCCAAAGCAACCGACCTTGGGACCGAGGTATTCTCATTGTCAAGTGTGCTGTGTATTCATTGATTGAGATCCATCACAGAGGAAAGACAGGTAGACCCATCATACTGTTCACTGCGGCTCCTTAGGGGGTGCTCTACACTTCATTGCCTTAGGTGTAGTAAAAGAGCTGTGGTATGTTAAGACATGCATATTAAAGTGTCTTTTTTTTAAATTCTTTTTGTCTTTTTAATTATTCCTTTACTATCTCAAGCAGTGCCCAAAGTTGGCCGGACACTTGTAAAATTTGCATGTATAAAAACAATGACAGATCATCAGCAGAACAGTATAAGAGACCGTGATGATGCGTTTAATCGACACTCTGCAGAGTGCGTAGCCTCATCTATAAAATCTCTCCTGTAAATTCCAAGCATGTCAGTAAAACATCAGTCGTATGTCAGAGGTTCCCAAGCTGATTTATAGGTGTTCTGGGGGTACGTAGCTATTTATACGGCCCGCATGCCACTGTGCACAAGGCTGAGCTGTCTATGGCCCGGTGCAGAGATTTAATGCAAGGTATGCATACCTTTTTACCCCAAAGACCTTTAACATTGAGAACAGTCTTGGAGGGCAGCCAACTCCCATAACAAGACCCCTTCTGGAGCTCCATATGTTACTCTACATCTGGAAGGGTTTGGTTTACTCTTACCCGGCTTCTACGGAACTCTGCCCTGTAACCTGGGGCCAGCGCTTTAACATGACATCAATATAGAAGGATGTTTTATTATTATTCCATAGTATTTATATAGCGCCAACAGTTTGCGCAGAGCTTTATGATCTTTTCTTTAGAATTAATTCATAGACTTGCTTCCTCTTCTTAAAGGAGAACTATGGGGTCAGGGCTTTTCTAAAAGCCCCCCCCCCCCCCCTCATAGTTCTCCTTTAAGAGATAATTGTAGCCACATTGGCCCCCCAAAAAACAAAAGAAACAAAAATAAAAACAAAAAGTTGAGTGTTAGCAGTACTAGTCGCCAATAGAATGTTATCTATTGGACTAAGGTATATATAGATATGTCTTGTATTAAGTCTCCATCGTCACATCAAACAAAATAACTGTAAGGCCCATTTCCAACCGGCTGTAAAAGGTACCTATGCAGTGCCCGCGACCCCCCTGCCCCCCCAACATTGCATGGGTTATATGCTTGCTTGGCTAGGTGGGAAAAGTACAAGTAGAAATGCTTACCTTATGCCTCACTCCCCCAGCTGCCGCCACTGTCCTGCATGTCTGGAATTTGAGTGTCTGGAATTTGAGTGGGCTCTCGCCTTTAAACCCCCACCGTACAAATCAGGACTGCTGGTACTGCATTGTACATGACGACGTCAGAGAGAGCTGTGGCCGGCCAGGCAGAGAACTGAACCAACCGGAGAGGAGAAGACCTGCAGAAGCTTGGACTACGGTATGTATTTGGCCTTATTATTTTCCCCCTTGACAAACATGCAATTCAGAAAGGGGGACCCCACTGCATGGGTACATCTAACAGCATTAAAGCCCAACTGAGCTTTCAATATAAATCAACTAAATACATTCTAGGTGCATCAAAACTAAAGGTGGGCAAAGTCTTACAGTCAATTTTTGTTAATAAGCAGCCACAGCCTAAGTAGAAAAGCCTGTCCGCTGTCAGCGTACTGCATAGAAAGGACTGTTGCTCTGTTTGGAAGCAGTGGTCTCTCTTCAGAGGTCTGACATGCCCCATGCTGAGTCAGAGCTAGAGCTCTCCAACCAGCAGGGAGCATGAGACAACAAGCTAAAGAAAGGTGACAGCTTATGTATCGGTTGCGCTGAAATCTCACCGGACTTCCCAACAATTATCACACCCCATCAGACTGATATATACCAGAAACTTTAGTATCTGCCAATTAAAAGAAACACTTTATATCTCCAGTACTTATTACTATCCTTTATTTAACATTTATGTATCAAATAAATTTTTGAGATATGATCAGATTTTTCATTGTATTTTGCAAAGGTTTTTTAATCCAAATAGGGATCAGAATTGTGGAGATGTTTTACACTCATGCTGGGCTTTGTAGTGCAGCAGCACGCACGTTTTACCTTGATTTCAAAGTTTTCGCAGAGATTCGGTATAAATATCCTCTCCTCTTCATCCCACATCTGGCTGTCGTCTGTTTCTATTTTGCCTTTTAGCCTCCACCTCTGGCGGCCGAGTCGTATTAACACCTACGGAACGACGGTAGAGTTACACGAGGGAAACGGGGGTGAGATATTACATGTGTGAGTCTGACTGAAACCATGAAGTGACCAGCCAAAGAATCGGTGACTCCTTATGAATGGACCATGCTGGAGTCCACACTGGAAATAAATGGTAACCGCATAATTTATGACCAGCCTTTGTAGCAAGGTGCGCACATGGGAAGGCTCACAACAATACAAAACACACAAAAAAAGTCCCCCGCACACCTGCCTGCAACAAAACAAATGATCCCGTCTAACAGTATGCGTTAAAAGCAGAGGTTTTAGTTACACAAACCTTTGACCACAAATATGTAGAAGCCACACCGCCCCGGCAAGGCTCCTCTGTTAAGTGTGGTCCTAACTCTCGGATGAGATATTACATGTGACTGACTGACTGCCTGACTGAAACGATGGAGTGACCAGCCAAAGGATCGGTGACTCCTTATGAATGGACCATCCTGGAGTCCACACTGGTACGGGGTCAGCCAGTAATGCCGGACAATTAGTGAATTAATAAAGTTATCTATACATTTAAAAAAATAAAAAACATCAAATGTGTCCTGCCTGCACATGTGCTGACAGGAGGACAGAGCAGGGAGATGGCTTCATCAGTCTGTCTCTGCTCTTTACTGACCAATTACAGGCCGGAGGGCAGGGAGGAGACCAAGCTCTATAACTTAACTGCAGTACAGAAAAAAATCAGGTCACCACCCTGGCTATGAGGCAATCAGGTGTCCTGCATTTATTATTATTATAGATGATTTATATGGCGCCAACAGTGTGAGCAGCGCTTTACAATATAATGAAGACATGACAATCACAATACAATTCAAGACAAGATGGTAAGGAGGGCCCTGCCCCTGAGGGCCCACAATCTGGAAGGGAGGGGGAAGTGATACATGAGGAGGGAGCTGTGTGGGGATGAATTGTATGAGAACGTGATGGTTCAGTGGTTAGATTGAGGTGGGATAGGCTTCCCTGAATAGATGAGTCTTAAGGGATCGCCTAAAGGCAGTCAGTGTGGGAGATAGACGGACAGGTTGGGGTAGAGAGTTCCATAGGATGGGACATGCATGCATGATATGTGCTGACAGGAGGACGGAGCAGGGAGATGACTTCATCAGTCTGTTACTGCTCTTTACTGATCAATTACAGGCCGGAGGGCAGGAGGGAGACCAAGCTCTATAGCTTAACTGCAGTACAGAAAGATCAGGTCACCACCCTCGCAGTGCCAACTAAGGGCCAATCAGGTCTCCTGCATGCACATGTGCTGACAGAGCAGGGGGAAATGACTCAATCAGTCTGTTTCTGCTCTCTACTGACCATTTACAGGCCGGAGGGCAGGGAGGTGACCAAGCTCTATAGCTTAACTGCAGTACAGAAAAATCAGTTCACCACCCTGGCTGTGCCAACTTAAAGGCAATCAGGTGTTTTACATGCACATGTGGTGACAGGAGGACGGAGCAGGGAGAGGACTCCATCAGTCTGTTTCTGCTCTCCACTGACCAATTACCGGCCTGGAGGGCAGGAGTGAGACCAAGCTCTATAACTGCAGTAAAGAAAGTGAAGAAGCCCTGAAAGTGACAGTATAGGTTTGAAGAGGAGCTAGAAATGAAGACAAGGGCAATGTCCTCTCCATTAGTCATTGTTCTATAGGGATAGGACCGTCATTATTAGACATCTAACTTATCCCAAGAAAATGAGCTCGATCTGCCTTCCATTTGAATCCTTCACCACTTCACTTCTCTATTCCAGAATCCCGGAGTTTGCCGGAGCTGTGTGCCAGACTTGGCGAGCTTTATGTCCTCTGGAGCTGGCAGGAAAACCCCTAGTTTAGCAGTTCGGAGAATTGACAGACAACATTCATAACTCCCCGAGCCACACGTCACTCCCTAATACAATCTATCATGTCAGGACATAAATCCTCTCTCTGCCTATATGACTATTCATCTTCAGTCGGGACCGTCCAAGATCTCTTGGGCTTGGCATACCGCTCGTCTGGTTGAAGGATTCCAGTAAGCGCTGCAGAGGATTCTGGGAAGATGATGTCAGTATTCCGTGCTTTATGAACCAGGGCATGGTGCACGGTCCCCGGATGGGGAAGATAAATGGTTACTGTACCTCGTAGTGATCTCCAGGGCAGAGCCGGGCGTAACCCACCAGACCTAGACAAGAGGAAGACAGTTAAACACTCTGAAAAGATTTTTTATGACCAGCTTCTGGTTCATTTCACCAAATTCCTAAATACGAAGGCTTTTTTTTAATGCAGCTCGAGGCATTTGGAAGGTCATTCATCAATGGCAACACCACTGGAAGATTGTCAGTTATTTAATGCTGGTAGTACATCAGGATACAAAAAATACACTTGTGTTTTTATCTCCTTCGAGCTTCTCTATTTTGATATAGGGAAACAATAAATTCATTTCTCACATATAAAACACTTGTTTTGCCCATTTAAAAGACAAAAAATGTATAGTTATAGAGCTTTAAAACTAAGGAGATGGAGAGGTTTAACCATACGAGTATAATTAATTCAAATGTATCTAACCACTTTTTTTAGTTTTTGGTTGATTGTGGAGGTGGCAGGTAGACATGTAAGCTGCGAAAAAAATTTGGTTCCCATATTTTGTTATTTCTAGATTCGGATCCGAAATTCAATTTGTTTCGGGATTCGGATTCAGACGAAATCCGAATTTTCGTTAGTTTCGGATGAGTTTACGGATATTTGTTGTGAATGCCACAGAAAACCATATACTGATATTAATACTAAAGCTGAATCTCCTAGACCCGAATGGCATTTGGGATCTGAATATCTGAATGGCATTTGGGGGCTCCCGAATGCCATTCGGGTCTGGGAGCAATATGCATATATTACTAAAGCTGAGCATCCCAGACCCGAATGGCAATCGGGAGCCACCGAATGCCATTCGGATCTGGGAGCCTCAGCTTTAGTATTATATGTATGTACTGTATATGGCTCCCATGTTGCCGTAACGAAAATTCGTGTTCAGACAAATTCGGATACATTAAACCGAAAAACACATCTGATTGGCCAGAAAAGTCACATGTCCGATTCAGTTTTAATTTTTCAACGGAATTCGGACGGGATCCGAGATCCAGATTCTGACACAATTGGATGTATTAAGATTCGGAAATTCGGATGGAATGTGCGAATTTCAGAAAATTCATATGAATTTTGATTCGGAACTAAACGAATCGCACATGTCCAGTGGCAGGAGTTTTTATACATTTCCAACTGTGTCCAAAACTAAAAATAAAGTTTTGGCTTTAGATATATACATTCATTTGCAAGGTGAGCCCCTGAGGTCCTCAAAGCTAGCTCAATTACAACACTAATGAAGTGCAGCCACTTTGTGCAAGGATCCGTGATGAACTGCAGATCTGTTTCTGCATCCTTCTGGAACCTTGACTTTCATCGAAGTCGGCACCAAGCTGCACCCCCGCAGGCTAATGCCAAAACCTCATTGGCCAGAGGAGGCTCTAGAATTAGCCTTTTGATCAGAAAGGGTTGGGTATAGCAAGGAGAAGAAATGGGGAGCAGACAGTGGTCACTTGGTCCTACATACAGCAAGGGCCTGAAATGCAGGGGATCGGGAGGGATTGTGTTGAAGAACCATGTTGGCATAGATAAGTGAAAACCAAATCCCTTGCCACAAGTGTCCTCACACACAGTGGAAAGGACCAAAAGGGGTGTGGCTGACCAGGTTTGTTAGATTTAGGGGAGCGCAGGGCATTGTGGTCAAACTCCGTTAGCTTTTTGACTGCTTGGTCATATTTAGACAAGCGAAGATGGAAAATGGAGGTCGCTCATTCAAGGAATATGTATTGATGAGACCTCGCCAGACTTACCTTTCATCTTGATGAGGAATTCCCCCAAATGTAGTTCCAACGCTCCTTCGATAGTACACATGTCCTAGATTTAAAAAAAAAAACACATATAGCATCAGAAATGGCCTTATCATCTCAAGGACTTATATGTCCCCAGATGATCTGTATGACACAGAGCTTTTCCAGAAACCAGTACTGACAGTTCTACAAAATTACGGAGTTTAGTTTGCACAGCAAATCTTCAAAGGTAACCTCCCCCCCCTTGCCCTTCCTTTTTCACTCTTGTTTCCGGCATGTTCTGCATTGTGTATGGGTGTCTCAAGCTAATGAATAGCAGATGTCTGGACAACCCCTAACACGACTTGAGTTACAGAAGGTCCCTTGGTGTCGGCAAGTGACTGGTGCAGTTAGAGAGGGCAGGGCAATGAATACAACAAAGATGTCTAAGGTGATACATTGTTACAAGGTTACCCGGTGACCGCACCAGAATGCAATCTCACTTTTAGAGCCCATTCACAATATTCTGTTGTGGCAACTCAGGTTATGTGTATTGGCGCAAATCTGGCACACTAATGGACCTTCATAATAGACATGTATTGCAGCAGTGTGCGCAGGGCCGGATTCACACTGAGGAACCTGGCCTTGGGGCAGCAGAGAGGGTAAATCCAGCCCTGAGTGTGCGCCCTCAAACCACAGAGGTGCGAACGGCTCCTTGGTTCCGGAGATCTAAGCTGCTCACACTATTTCAGGTGTAAATTGCAAAATCTCCAAAACTTGGAGGAAACAGAAATGCCAATTGTGCAAATGTTCAATGCACCGGAAATGCCTAATACTGAATACCTTAAAGGTCGGAGCTGCCAGCAAAGCCGAGCTAATTAAATCTGGTTTGTGAAATTGGAATAAAAGCAGGAAGTAGTTGTTTTTTTTTTTTTTTTAATCAGCTCCGGCTGCTGGCTTGCTGCCTAATGGGGGAATTTTTATTAGGCACTTTCAGGAAGGACACAGATTTAATAAGTTAGGATTAGCAGCGGAAAGGGGGTGGGGGCGGGTGGATCCCTTTTCTCCAATTCTCTCCTTGAAATTTCCTAATGATTGAATTTTGGTGTCTTCTGCCTGCTCTCAAACATTACTGATGGTCCTGCTGTAGACTTCTAAAGGACTAGATGTAAACCCTAACCACTTGATATTTCATTTTCTAAAGTATAAACCATCTCCATGTTCCTTTTTATATAAAATTGTTATTTTTTAATTATTTTTTTTCCATCTCAGTGCTGCTGATTGCCACTTCCTGTCTACATGCACTTACTGCAGCATCCCCTGCACATCATTGCCCTGAATGGGGTTCCCGATAATGACAATGCTGGAGCATCACTGTGCCATGGGTGTCAACACAACCACCAGGGGCAGGGACAAGGTGATAACGATTGAGTACAGTATGGAGACAATTGTTACACCACAACAGGAAGTGCCTGAACAAGGACAAGCATGGCAGGATCACCAGGAATTATTTAAATAAACATATTTTGTAAGTGACATTACCATAGTAAAGCTTATAAGAGATTTTGGTGTTGGGTTTACATCTACGATAACAAAGTCTTGCAATTCTGTCTTAGAAGACTACTGATTGCTTGGCTATCTTCTCCTCCAGAGTGACACTTTAATGAAGAGCTGTCCTCTAAGATTCCCTGATTGCATTCTGCTCCAGGCTTCATGTAATGAATCTGAGCACTGAAGAGGCTTGTGACTCACCACCGTGCACTCCTGGAAGCTCCTGTACAGTTCGATGAGACTTTCCCGTGATGCCTTGGTAGTAGGGGACAGAGAAAAGGCGTGCTTCATGTTACTGGCCCCGACCCGCAGCCTCCAATGAATGCAGTATGCCTCGTAGAGCTCCTCAATCTGAAAGAGACACAAATCGTAGAGATCGGTCACGGCACGAGAAATGACAAGACATCAGAAATGATAGCAGAGGTCCACCCTCCTCGCTACACAGATCCAGCAAAAAGATCTCAACATTGCAATTACGGTGGGAAGAGGCACAAGCCGGCTTCTATGTCCAACAGCCGCCGGAGCTCCCCTCCCGGCTCTCTCGTTGCACCCACCTTGGGGGTGTTTCCGCTAAAATCCAATACGGAAATACGGAAATCCAATACGGGAACCAGAAGAAACTATAAGACTATACAACATCACATATAAAATGGTTATATCTCTGTAGTACTAGTAAAAAAAGAAATGAAATACCAGTTGAACTGATACTTTAAAGCCCAATTTGGCCATTTTGTTAAAGAGTGAGCCCCTGTTAAAGGAGAACTATGGGGTCAGTGTTTTTCCCCATAGTTCTCCTTAGGGTAACGGGAGGACACAAACTAGCGTCCTCCCGTCACCCTAGGCTCAGTATATAGTGAGCTACAGTTTGCGGTATACTAAGACGCTGAAAATTATGGGGGGGGGAAAAAGCCCCCCCCCCCCCCCTCATAGTTCTCCTTTAAGCTTTTGCTCTCATGTTGGAGCTAATTGGACCATGTTTTATAACAGGGGTAGTCAAACTCCGGCCCCTCCAGCTGTGGTGAAAGTATAAATCCCATCATGCCTCTGCTTCGTGGAGTCATGCCTGTGGCAGTCAGAGTCTTGCAATGCCTCATGGGTCTTTGTAGTTTCACCACAACTGGAGGGCTGGACAGGCTGACCTGGTTTTTAGGGTTTTTTGCCTTCCTCTGGATCCACTGTGGGTGCGGTGTTCTCTTTAGGGACGTTTTCTATTTTATTCATCTTTTTTCTCTCTATTAAACTCAATAGACTTGTGTCTGTTTTCACTTGTGTCTGTGTCCTCACCGAGATTTTCCCTCATTTCCTGCTTGTCGGAGGAACGAAAGCCCTGGCAGAGATTCAGGGACTTCCTCGCTCTATCCAAAACTTGAAAAAGGACTGAGTTTAAAGAGGAAGTAAATCAACATTGTAACATTGTAACCCATATGCAATCATATTCAGGGCCGGATTTATGTGTAGGCTGCATACAAGTGATCTCAGCGACATTGCCGAGATCACTTGTACAGAACAAGTGGCAGCGTCCCCCCACTGTACATTTAGCCCTGCTTGCCCAAAGCAGGGCTAAATGTAAAAAAAAAAAAAACAACAACTACCCACCTGGAACTGCATGTCCCAGGCGTCGGGAGATAGGAATTCCACACCCCTGCTGCCCCAAGGCTGGGCCTCGGTTGGCCTCGTGGGAAATCCAGCCCTGATCATATTATAAATACTCCTTGTTGTTGATATCTTCATCCTCCACAACATTTCCATCGGTGAGAAATTGATGGTATACTTGGCGGAGAGGTCACATGCGCATCCAGGCCATGCCGAGATATGGACAACGACATAGAGGCTCATTCTAGCGAGTCTGTTTACACCCGGAAACTCCATGTGACTAGCGACGGGCCCCGGTCCTCGCATGCTGATGGTGTCCATTGAGGGCAGATGAAGGAGAAGGGGACATAAGCACAGAGATGCAAAAAAGATGGCGCTGGCTTCAGCAATAGAGGGGGGCGGAGCGGCCAGAAAACAAAAGGCTCAACTATTGTTCTTTGGAGCATTTATCAATCGTTTGCTGAGCGGAAGGAAATGGGGCCCTAAGTTGTTTTTTTTGGCGGCAGGTAGCAGACTTTAATTCCACTTTAAAAAATAAATACCAATGAGTACTGTACAGTCATATTTATAATACAGTCCTGTCATTTATTTTCAAGCACAGCAAGTGTAAATACATGAATGTAACATGTTTCAGCCTCTTGTGCATCAGCATTTAGAGGGAGAGGCGGGACTTGTAGCCAAGCAGCATGACCGGGAACATGCTGACAGGAGGAGAGAGAGTGCATCAGCGATGAGAGAGACAGGGAACATGCTGACAGGATGAGAGAGAGAGCATCAGCGATGAGAGAGACAGGGAACAACTGACAGGATGAGAGAGAGCATCAGCAATGAGAGAGACAGGGAACATGCTGACAGGATGAGAGAGAGAGTGCATCAGTGATGAGAGAGACAGGGAACATGCTGACAGGATGAGAGAGAGAGCATCAGTGATGAGAGAGACAGGGAACAACTGACAGGAAGAGAGAGAGCATCAGCAATGAGAGAGACAGGGAACATGCTGACAGGAGGAGAGAGAGTGCATCAGTGATGAGAGAGACAGGGAACATGCTGACAGGATGAGAGAGAGAGCATCAGTGATGAGAGAGACAGGGAACATGCTGACAGGAGGAGAGAGAGAGCATCAGCGATGAGAGAGACAGGGAACATGCTGACAGAATGAAAGAGCATAGAGATGAGTGCAGTCTGCCGCTGCTCCTTAACTGTCCAGTCAAAGGCTTAGGGGGTGGGGAGGTGGCCAAGCTGTGTTGTCTAAGGGCTGTAGAGAAAGGGTAGGCCACCTTGCTGGCCAAGGGAGCGACAAGACCTGAAAGTGTTAATTAGCTGCAGCAGAGACAAGGCTGTGCTGTGTGACAGAGCTGTATAAATCTCAGGACTGTGAGGACATGAAATTAAACCCCCTCCTATTATTATTATGCCGGATTTATATAACGCCAACAGTTTGCGCAGCGCTGTACAATATAAGCAAGACATTACAATACAATTCAAGACAAGATGGTAAGGAGTGCCCTGCCCCTGAGGGCTTACAATCTAAAAGGGAGGGGCCAGTGATACATGAGGAGGGAGCTGTGTGGGGATGAATTGTTTGAGAACGTGATGGTTGAGGCGTTCGGTTGAGGTGGGATCGGCTTCCCTGAAGAGATGAGTCTTAAGGGAACGCCTAAAGGCAGTCAGAGTGGGAGATAGACGGACAGGTTGGGGTAGAGAGTTCCATAGGATGGGAGAGACTCTAGTGAAGTCCTGGAGGCGGGTATGGGAGGAGTTGACGAGGGAGCTGGAAAGCAGGAGGTCTTTGGAAGAGCGGAGCGGACGGTTAGGGTGATACTGTGAAACAAGGTTTGAGATATAGCCGGGGGCAGAGTTGTGGACGGCTTTGTAAGTGGTTGTTAATATTTTGAATTGTATCCTTTGGGTGATTGGAAGCCAGTGGAGGGATTGGCAGAGGGGGGTGGGGTATGGAAGCCAGTGGAGGGATTGGGAGAGGGGGTGGAAGCCAATGGAGGAATTGGCAGAGGGGTATGGAAGCCAATGGAGGGATTGGGAGAGGGGGGTTGCAGACACTGAGCGGTTGGTTAGGTGAATGAGTCTAGCAGCTGCATTCATGATGGACTGAAGGGGGGATAGCCTGGGTATAGACAGCGAGGAGGGAGTTGCAATGTTATAGTTGAATGGTATGTTATCAGAGCATTACACAACTCTGTCAGAGTATCCAACAACACTAAGGGTTTTATATCTGAACGTCGTATTCAGCCATTTGCCTGGAGTTCAGCCTTACGGTTTCGCAGTTCAGGATGCTGTCAAAACAGTTTGCCATAACGACCTAATAATTCTCATGTTTACTGAATGTTCGCACACAGATATGGTGGAGATAATCCCTATTGGGAAACACATTCTTTTAAGTTTGAGGACACAAAGTTTCCTAACTCCTGGCACGCTGACATCGAAACTTTTCTGGAATTCGGTCCAAATCCGGCTTCCAGAGGGAAACATAAAATTCTGACGTGACTCATTTTTTAGTTGTATGGAGACCGGCAGCGTCAGGTACCAGATACACATAATTACCAGATTACGACCCACTTTTGTTCTTTGTAACGGCTCATTTATGACTGATGGAAAGACGTTCTGGATGGCGACAGTGGGGTAACCACATGGGGTGACCGCGTGCAGCAAGCCCTGGGAGGTGACCCCCATGTAAATTTTTAGGATAAACACCTCCCCGCCTTTCCCCTGAGCCCATATGAAATGCGGATGGGAAAGACGGCAGATAGGAATTATAGATAATCATTTCTTATTTCCATCTACTGCACCATAGCAGCCATTGCGGGTATTCCAAGCGTCATCCTGAATGATGTGTAGGGGATGATGGTACCAGTCAAGACAGATGTGGCACCAGCCCCTTGCAGGCTCCCATGTTAATCTCGATTAAAGTCACCCCCCCATTCTCCTGATACTCATCGTTCCCATGCTACCCTGCCACCAGAGGTCTGGGTTAAAGGTCTGTGTCTTCCCCAAGCTGGCCCAACAATGTTTCCACCACCCCAAGTACATCAAGCCTGGTCACGGGCATCTTGCACACTGTTGGACGTAAGGGGAGAAGGTCACATGATCCCCATACCTGGAAGTTTTGCGTACTTCACAGAGCTCCATCAGATGAATGGGGCAGCAGCTAAATGGGGCAATGCCAAAGGAGGAAAGGGCTATTAAGGGAACCTGTCACTTCAATCTAATTGGGTGCAGTTTAAAAGTTTAGAATGGAACACAACTTTACTTAAATCTCGCAGTAATTACAATGCAGCATGTTATACAGATACGTAGTTGTATCCAAAGATATATAACAATTCAATCCAAAGATTAAGAACACATGAGGGCCACCCATGCAGACAGCTACTGGCATGCCAATCCCAAGGCTTTAACCAACACATCTGAAGATCAATGCTTCACCTCCAGTCTAGTGACTTTGCCTAGGCTGAGATGATGTCATCAGTCTGCTGCAGGCCGGAAGTAGCGTTCCGCAGTCTCCTCTGCCCTAGTGATCAGCCTACTGCAGGCAGGAGGAAGCATTTCTTCAGACTCCCCTTCTCCAGTGATCAGTCTGCTGCAGGCAGGAGGAAGCATTTCCACAGTCTCCCCTCCCTTAGTGATCAGCCTGCTGCAGGCAGGAGGAAGCATTTCCTATCTCCCCTTCCCCAGTGATCAGTCTGCTGCAGGCAGGAGGAAGCATTTCCCCAGTCACCCCTCCCCCAGTAAACAGACTGCTGCAGGCAGGAGGAAGCATTTCCTGTCTCCCCTCCCCCAGTGGTCAGCCTGCTGCAGGCAGGATGAAGCATTTCATCAGTCTCCCCTCCCCCAGTCATCAGTCTGTTGCAGGCAGGAGGAAGCATTTCCTCAGTCTGCCCCCACCCCCAGTGGTCAACCTGTAGAGTGTAACTTTATGTCACAATGTGAGAGGCGGCAGCAGGGGCTGATCTTTGTCATATATTTGTGAACACAGCCAAGAACAGGATTTGTATGACTGTGTCATCTTTGAGCCGCCATGTCAATCCATGAAGTAAATAATGACCCCGGATAATGCCTCAGTAATCATTGCACTGACATCCTAAAGAAAGCAGATGAAGGCATTGCAGGGGGAGTACTGTGATCTCTTGGAGAGGTAACAAGTAGCTGGAACATGGACAAATTACTTAGAATGCTTCACTTAGCATGAAAAATATATGAGATGACAGGTCCACTTTAAGTCATCCGCCTGTGAAAGCAGCATCCTGTAATATGGGAATATTTTCCTCGGCTCTGTTCAGCATCTTTGGAACTTGTCATTTGGAACAATGAACCTTCTGATGGCCATTATGGAGCTCAGGAATGCGGTAGGGGGGTCATTATCTTACTGACGACCTTCAAATTACAGGCTGAGGATGGAGCCATTTCCTGAAAAACGCTACAAATTCCAAAATTCCCCCTAATGACAGATGACAAGTCCAGAGAGGGGAACCGGCCGGCCGGGAGGTTTGTAGCAAGTCCCGGAGATAAGATGATGGGAGGAGACCACGTCCATGTCAGGTCATTGGACCATCATGAGCCTTCATTCAGCTGTGGCCAGCGAAGAGGAACCATTCCACAGGCCGCGTCCATGGCGCTTATGGAGACTCGGCCAAGTTCTAAAAATACTCAGCCATTACTTAGGAATGAATGCTGCGATTTATCTCCGGGTAACAGAAGGACGCTGTGTGTGACGGCTTGTGTATGACTTAAAGTGAGGTTGTGGGGGTCACAGCTGAAGCCCCGAACCGCTTTCGTCGTCGAACTTCCACTAGATGGAAACAATGAAATCTGTGCTGGAGAGGGTTCAGATTGAAGGCCAGCCAAATGAGCATTTTGGGGGTAGTCATCTTCAAGAATGATCTGCTGGCATCCATTGAGAGTTTCCACCATGCTGGTACATTTCTGCATCCTGTGGACTTCTATTACTATTCCTCATGCAAAATCTGACACAATAGATACTTCCTACGGATCATATTTATTTAATGCATATCTAAAGGAAATATTTTGCATAGAGTGCTGAAGGTTAAATCCCCAGCCATAGTTTTTTTTGCTTTTTTGCTGGGTAGATTCACTCTCTCTATGAGTCCTGCTAACTATTATCTCCAGTACAGAAGATTATGGAAAATACAATATTTTACAGTTGTCACTCAACCAGGAGGTTCGGGGAAATCTTCCATTGGGGGGAAGAGCAATCAAATAGGTCTCCAGTTGGAGGGAACAGGAACAGACAGGCCTCTGGTTGGAGGGTACATGATTAGACAGGTGTCCATGTGTGGGGAACATAATCACACAGGCCTACAGTTAGAGGGAACATGATCAGATAGGTGTCCAGTTGTAGGAAACATCATCAGACAGGTCTCCAGTTAGAGGGAACACAATCAGAAGGGAACATGATCAGACAGGTCTCTGTTTGGAGGGAACATGCTCAGACAGGTGTCCAGTTTTAGGGAACATGCTCAGACAGGCCTCCAGTTAGAGTGGAGACAATCAGACAGGACTCTGGTTGAAGGGAACATGATCAGACAGGCTTCTGGTTGGAGGAAACAAAATTGTATGGCCTCCAGTTGGAGGTAACATGATCAGACAGGCCTCCACGATTAGACATGACTCCAGCCCGACCTTCAGTTGGAGGGAACATGATAAGACAGGCCCCTGGTTGGAGGGAACACTATTAGACAGGCCTCTGATTGGAGGGAACACAATCAGACAGGCCTCTGATTGGAGGGAACACAATTAGACAGGCCTCTGATTGGAGGGAACACAATCAGACAGGCCTCTGATTGGAGGGAACACAATTAGACAGGCCTCTGATTGGAGGGAACACAATCAGACAGGCATCTGGTTGGAGGGAACACAATTAGACAGGACTCTGGTTGGAGGGAACATGATCAGACAGGCCCCTGGTTGGAGGGAACATGATCAGACAGGCCTCTGATTGGAGGGAACACAATTAGACAGGACTCTGGTTGGAGGGAACACAATTAGACAGGACTCTGGTTGGAGGGAACAAACTTGGATGGCCTCCAAATGGAGGGAACAAAATTGGATGGCCACCAGTTGGAGGAAACACAATCAGTCACACCTCTAGTTGGAAGGAACACAATCAGATAGTCTACAGTAGTAGGGGGAACAGAATCAGACACCTCCAGTTGGAAGGAACATGCTCATATGGGCCTTAAGTCACAAGGAACACAATCAGACAGCCTCCAGTTGGGGTAATATGACCAGATGGCCTTAAGTTGAAGGGAGTATGATCAGATGGGCCTACAGTTTTTGGGAACATGATAAGATAGCCTCTAGTTGCAAGGGACATTACCAGACAGCCTCCACTGGAGGGAACACACATTTATGGGCCTACAGTTGGAGGGAACATGATCTGACAGCCTCCTTCCTCTCCTTCTCTCAAAGGGTGAGATTCCCAGGCACACAAAAGTCACTTTCTCTCACAATGCAGAGAAGTAAAGAAAAGATGTGATTGGCTCTTATGGATGATACATCACATGACATTATAATAAGACTCAACACGCCGACTCCTGTCAGCTCCTGCCACTCCGCTGACCTGCAACTATTTAACAAAATGGAAGAAATGTGTGACAGGAATCCATTAGTCACGGCACATGTATGTGAAGAATGTGCGAGGAGAGAAAACGACATCTGTCTTCCAGATGTGACAAGGACCACATCTCTGGATCCGGAGCAACACGCCTGTCTGCCTCACTAAAGAGGACCTGGAACCCATACATAAAATTTGTTTTATGGGCCAGGACCGAAATTTTGGACAGGTCAGTCATTCGATTCCCTAGAAATGAGGAACAACACTATAGCAGAAGGCACAAAGTAGCCATTTCCTAAACGGCAAAGTCCATGGATTTACCTGGTAGAAGAACCTGCTGCCCACCAAACTCAGACAGACAGGTGCACTATAAACAATGCAATCTTAAAGGACAAGTACACCATTGTACATGTGATGTACATTCCTCAATCTAATATTTCAAGTAAACCTGTCAGCCAAGTAAAATTCCTGCCTAAGAACAGAACCAAAATACCTTTTATGACCTCTATTAGAAGAGAAAAAGAAAACCCTTCTATGTGCGCCGTTCTAAAAACTATTTAGCTCCGCCCACATAACCTCACCAGCAGAATAAAGTGTACATGAGCAATTACATAGGAGAGTTTGCAATAAGGAATTCATGTTCATTCAAAGTAACTTTTTTTTAAACATTTTTGGGTGGAAAAGTTAGATGTAGGGATGATATCATGAAACCTCTTACTTTACTGATGTGGAATTCCATCTTCCGGATGTGTCTTTCCATTAATCGAATTTCCTAAAACAAAATTAAAAGAAAGGAGGAAACATTTACTAAATAGGAAGAGCCAGGAAATCAAATATAAAATGGTGAGAAAGAACAAGGTGTGAAGGAGAAGGTGGGGCTTACCTTATCCAGATCATAGAAGTAACCCTGTGATATAAGAAAGGTAACATCAGTATGTAATATGTAGAAAGATAAATACATATCAACATAAAAGCTTTATTGTGATTTTACGTACATGTAAACACGCGCATGATTTTTACATTATGATTTTTGTCCCACCACAATCCCTACAAACGATATGGACCCCTATCCTTGTGTCAATTGAAAGACTTAGGTGACCAATGTATGACCACACAAACATCATAGAGACCTATAATGCAGCCGCTTTCAACAAGGTTTACGGGGACCCTGGGATTCCTACAGAGGTCACCAGGGGTCTCTTGAGAAGAGAGCAATGGCAGATTAATCTCCTCCCTACACTAAACTCAACTGTAAAGGGTCACTTCTACAATGGCCACCAATCTAGGGGGCCACTTCTACATTGGCCGCCCATCTAAGGGGTCACTTCTTTAATGGCCACCAATCTAAGGGGTCACTTCTACAATGGCTACCAATCTAGGGGGCCACTTCTACATTGATCCCCAATCTAAGGCATTACTTCTACACTTACCACCAATCTCAGGGGTTACTTCTACATTGGCCGCCCATCTAAGGGGTCAGTTCTACATTAATCACCAATCTAAGGGGTCACTTCTACATTGGTCACCAATCTAGGGGGCTACTTCTACATTGATTCCTAATCTAAGGCATCACTTCTACACTTACCACCAATTTAAAGGGTCACTTCTACATTGGCCGCCCATCTAATGGGTCAGTTCTACATTAATCACCAATCTAAGGGGTCACTTCCACATTGATCACCAATCTAGGGGGCCACTTCTACATTGATCCCTAATCTAAGGCATCACTTCTACACTTACCACCAATCTAAGGGGTCACTTCTACATTGATCACCAATCTAGGGGGCAACTTCTACATTGATCCCCAATCTAAGGCATTACTTCTACATTGATCACCAATCTAAGGGGCCACCTTTACATTAATCCCCAATCTAAAGGGTCACTTCTACATTGGCCACCAATCTCAAGGGTCAGTTCTACATCGACCACCAATCTAAGGCGGTCACTTCTATATTAATCACCAATCTAAAGGGTCACTTCTACAATGATTACCAATCTAAGGGGCCACCTTTACATTAATCACCTATCTAAGGGGTCATTTCTACAATGATTACCTATCTAAAGGGTCATTTCTACAATGATTACCAATTTAAGTGGTCACTTCTACATTGGCCACCAATCTTAAGGGTCACTTCTACATTAATCAACAATTCACATATGTCCCCTGACTATGAATACATTTCCTTTCACTTCCTGCTGTGTTTTCAAGAAAAGAAGTAAAGGGAAATCTCCCCAATGGGAAACGGAAAAGAAAACATTTTAAATACACTTTAGGGATCTCTGACCCCGATAGGGGACTTTCTGTATTCCATTGGACTTACTGTTATCCTGGAAATTCCCTCCTAATTGCAATACACAAAAACAAATTAACACATGAAAACATCCAGGCACATAGCAGTTTGATTGGTTGAGAGATTATTATGAGGAGGGGGACTGGAAGCGGAGATCGAACGTCCCGCGTGTGTCAGGCAGAGTGCCAGTTCTACTTAAGCCAGGAAAGCTTTATCAGACTTACCAGCCGGGAGTTGCGTTTTGCGTCCTTCTGCTGGCCGGCCAAGAAATCCAGCTGGGTCTGATGTTCTTCAAGGTACTCACTGCAAAATGTGCCAAAGACATTCTGGTTATGTCTGTGCCAATCACAACACAGGTCACAGGTTACAGGGGGGCACAGCTGGGGATCAGGGATAGAGATGGTAATCGCATAGAAAAATTCCACCTTTTAAACACACGTATATATTTGAATATGTGAAGATGTGGAATGGTCTCAGATATTCATGAGTTCTGCTGGGGCGGCTTTGGGTCTAAAGATCAACATCACAAATGGGCCAGATCCAACCCCTCCTCCAAGCGAACTTTCATTTAAACCCATCTACATACATTCTAGATGCATCAAAACAAAAGGGTCTTATGGTTGGTTCTCTTTGGGGTGGAAGAGCCTGTCCCATGCCAGCAAGCTGCAGAGAAGGACTCTTGCTTTCTATGTGGAAGCAGTGGTCGCTCTCTGCAGAGGAGGAGTTAAAAGGAGAACTATGAGGCGACTGATTTTCACTCACCTCATAGTTCTAGCCGACCTGTGACAATGAGACTTTCACACGTCGGCTCAATAGATCGGGAAGTGAGCGAACACATACCGACGCTCGCTCACTTCTCGATCATGTCCCTGCAGGGAGCTGTGGCTGTCACTCACGGCTCCCTGCAGGGATTCCCCCCCCCTCCCTGCTCCAATCCTCCACCGCTGACTGGCGGAACGGACAGGGGAGGGGGTGGGTACAGCTGTCTCTGCCTCTAGATAGGCGGAGCCAGCTGTCACTCACGCAGCTGGGCGGATCTCGACAGTAATGTTGGGATCCGTCCCGGCTGCGGCGGTCTCAGTATACCGCGAGCTGTAGCTCGCGGTATACTGAGCTTTGGGTCATGGGAGGACGCTAGTTTGTGTCCTCCCGTCAGGGCAGCCATCAGAAATTTTGAGGCCCCTTACACGGCTTTAGGCCGGGCCCCCCCACCGCGCCGCTGGACGCAGGGCTTAGTGACGCGCTGGACACAGGGATTAGTGATGCGCTGGACACTGGACCCACCTGAGAGTGACCCTGCAGAGCCCACCATTGATGCTGCACAGCCCATCTGAGACTGTCTATGGTGGGCTCTGAAGGGGTCTCAGGTGGGCTGGTCAGGGCTGCATCCCTCCTTTCCTTCCTTCCTTCCTAGCTCCTCTTACCTGCACACATGGCCTCGTCTGCCGCCAGACCGGCCAGAAGTGACATCACGTCACTAACGTGACATCACTTCCGGCCAGTCTGATATCAGACGAGCAGCGTCGCTGATGGGGCCCTAGCTTGTCTCAAAGCCGCTGGAGCAGCAATGCTGGGGCCCTGCATTGCTAGGGCCAGGCCTCCGCCTCCTTGCCCTTTACCGTCGGTCGATAGTCATGTAAGGGACCCGGGTGGGCCCCCCAGGCTGCCGGGGCCCCTTACATGAGTATTGGCCGTACCCCCCCTGATGGCTGCCCTGCCTCCCGTGACCCTTAGGAGAACTATGGGGAAAAACACTTACCCCATAGTTCTCCTTTAAACAAATGTCTAAATGCCTTGATGGTTGGATGTCATTCTGGGAGAGTGGGGCTTCCTAGGCAGCTTGTATTTGCATGCAGACAGCCCTAAATAAAGCCAACATGTGATGCTGAGCCTCCATGACTGTCAGAAGTGAGAAGCTCACAGTGTGCAGTGAAATCAGAGAAAGCAATTTCTGTCCAGGAGAGGAGCCGGTACAACTGTGCAAGACTAAAGGGAAGGCCGGAGTTCAGCTTTAACTCTTACCTAATTCATCCCAAACTAAAAGCAGAATTTTGGCTACAGATCCACTTTAATGCCCAATATGAGCGCAGTGCGGCTAGGAGGATCATTTCGGTTTTTCAGGCAGTTTTCAGAGGAAAGAGGACAGTGATAGTGATATACAGCCTGCCAGAGATCAGGAATGTAAAGATTAAAGACGATGGTGTGCCCCCCACCCCCCCCCC